ATTTCAATTTCAATTTGATGACAGTGACAAATGACAGTATGTCATTCGTCTGTTTGCTAAAATGGTTATTAGGGACGTTCATAAACAAAGATCCCATCGTCAGCCTTTTATAAACTTTTCATCAAGGTGAAAGTACATCCATTCTCGGAAACCCAGGGTTAAAATTCTGTCGCTCATTCCGAGAAGTTGTTTATCAACTAGACAAGTCGATAACTCGGCGCATGCGCATATCCATAATACAGTTGACTAGCCCGCGTTATACTCTTGTAAAGGCAAGTCTGATCTTATCCTGTCGGTCATATGTTAGTCTTGTGATGCCCGTACGTCTGATCGCACTCAGGCACGAATCAAACAAAGACGCGTTCTGGTAATATCCACTATTTTATACAAGTACTTTATTACATGAAATTTTCGCGACACGTTTATTTCGCCATTTTACGGTGCGCGTTTTTCGCGACACTTAAATTTCGTAATTTTGGAAAATTTTTGTATTTTGAATCACTTTAATTTCGCGTTTTTAAGTAAGGCACCTGATTTTATTTAACTTATTCTTGAATCAAATAGAACGACTTCATCAACAACATCGTCAAAATTAACAAAAGATGCAGCGGCGGGTCTATATGACAACATTACTGACAACGAAGTCCTAAGTTCTTACAATGTCCACAAGAATTTCACGCCTGATTTTGCAAACGTTTCAGTGGTAATAAACGTATTCTTTCTTGATTATTGACATATTGTGAGGCACTTAATTTTCGCGTCATGTTATGTTCGCGACACTTAGTTTTCGCGTCACTTTAATTTCGCTATTTTTTTTTTAATCGCGAAATTCGCGAAATTAAGGTGTCGCGAAAATTTCATGTAATAAGGTAGAAGCAAAAAAGCAGCAAAATAGCTGTAATAGACAATGATCTTTCGTTTTGTTTCACGGACGTACGGAGCGTACACTTTACTTATATGAGATAGGTTACTAAACTAATGGTTAAGTTAGTTCAGACCTTTTGTAAAGCTAAGATATAAAGTTCCCAAATAAATCAAGTGTATCTTACCAGACTTGGTCAGTTCTTAACTTCTTCAAACAAGCGTGTGGAGTAGTGAWKGAAAATACGCGTGCTCCTGTCACCACTTTAAAGACTCTAGGAAAGCCGCTCTTCCAACGTGTTGAGTCAGATTATCTTTATTATTTGTATTAAAATAAAATGTGATCAAGTCTTATTTTAGTAAAAAATAATCTGCCTTAACACGTCTCCCCGATAAGTAGGGCACTTGTGCCCGGCTAGAAGATTAGAGACATTAATAAGGTTATTATTATTATTATTATTACGTTTGGGACACTTTGCAAGAGTCTTTAAAGTGCTGGCATATACGGTATATTTCCGTTATCTTACAATGAAGTAAGGGGATACAAAATTTCATGATTCGATACCATTTTGGCGTTGAATCTAACCAAAACGATTGAAGAAAGAGCGTAAATAAGTTATAACTTCCGTACGTCACG